CTAGAACAATCTGTCCCTGAGTGACCCTTTTATATTCTCCAATTCCTCCCCTTACAATTCTGCATCCCAAGGCCTTCTGTTACGCGTTTCACTGCCCAATATTATTCCCTTACTGTCTCTGCCATCTGTTTATTTTAGGTGCCTTTTCCTTCCTTGCGGTTGGCCTTCATACAGCAGCTCTGCCTTCTCTGCCCTTCCCACCCAGCTCTGCAGCTCACCCTGCTCCCACACGGCCCCACTTCACCCTGCCCCACTCCCTCACGGCTGTGGACCAAATGGGTGCTCCAGTGAGAGCTCTGCCATTGACTCCAGGGCTTGGCTTTGTAAATCTAAATTATCCTGCACTTGCATTCATTCTTAGGCACTCAGGAAGCCTCCTCACGCGCTGCTGCCGACCCAGCCCTGGAACAGCGCTGCAAGTGTCAAAGTATTATGTTCCAATCACTCCCTCAATTTCGGAATAGCCCCTTAAAGAAAGATTGCTTTAAAAGTTATTTAAAGCATTCTGGGAAAAAGAGCACAGCAAATAATTTTAGCATATTCTAAGTAGGCGTCCATTAAAACCAGTTCAGAACGGGGTCACTCTTTGAACTGTTCCAGGCAGACAATAGTTTCCTGACAATAAATCCATGAAATACCAAATCATGGAACATTTTAGTAATCATAACTGAAAGGTAACAAGTTCTGCCAGAAGGTTTCAAATCTCAATTTGCAAAGAAATAGGCTTCCCTCCCATCTGTCCAGCTTGCACATCGCACCTAATAATTTATTTCACCTCAGTTCTGCTATTTCTTTTGCAAGTGCAGTCAATTGCAGGAATTTCCTAGATCCTCTTCACATTCTTTCTACAAAAATAATTCAAATACAATGAGAAAATGCTGGGCACTGAGTGCACAACAGGAGATGAGGCAGTAGCACCAAATGGAAGAGCCTGTGACTATAACCAAGTAAATAAATCCAGACTTCCAACTTTGTTGTCCCAGAGTTTTAACTGTGCATTAACTCCTGCACAGGACGCATACAACACTTGGGAAAATTTACCTGCTGCAATGAAATCCCAAGAAGCCATATCAAACATTTTTCTGCCCAAGCGCTCTATAGCTTATCAAACTTTATCATCCACAAGCCTGTATATAGCTACATTAAATATGAGTGGAAAACAATACAGCCTTGTACTACAAACACAAATTTACCAGCAAAACAAAGTCAGCCATGGAGGGCTGACAGCTGGGTGAGTGATGTACGCTCGTATCCCAACCCCTTCCTCATGTCCCAGCTGCTGCAGATCAATATCCATTTGTGAGGCCCATTCTCGTCATCCACCCAAGAGCAACCCATTGTTTGAGCTGACTTCTGCAGCCCCAGTCCCACTCATACAGCTGGCGTCGCTTCTTTCTTCTATTTTTTTTTTTAATAGTGCAACTCAGGAATTTGTCCCTTGACTCTATTGTTGAGGCAGAAAAACAAGAAATCCATTATTACACATTTCCAGGCAGATCCAGCAAACATGAAGCCAGAGTTCATTTTCATGAGCAAGCTCATTGGCTGGATATGAGCAAAGTAATTCTGAACTAAATGTATACAGGAGTAGATACTCGGTTTCCAAAACTATCTCAACTGGCCCCAAATAAGAGGAGGCAGCAGATGAGTAAGTAAAATTGGGTACATTCCAAAACCAAGAATTTTTGTATGAGAGCCCCAGTGATGTTTTGTTTCCCCTGGCCATTTAATGCATTTGGCAAGCTTCAAACAGTTGAAATATTTTTCCAATGAGGTATGTGGATCTTAAAATAAAAATATTTCTTAAAGTGTAAAATTTTTTTATTACTTCATTGGAGTATGTCACTTACTCTCACATCATCACTTCTAGTATTAACAGAATTATATTTTATAGCTGGGTTCCTGCACTCTGCTGAAGCACAGAATGATACAAATGAACTGGTGACATTAAGCTTCACATTCAGAGTAATGGATGCAGTGGTCTGGAGCTGCACAGTGTCACAGGAGCTATTTCAGGAGTAATTTATAGTTAAGCTTTACAGAAAATAAATTTTTACCCTCTTTGCTGCTCACTTGTGCATGCAAACAGCTTCAGAGAAGGTATTTTTGGGCTTCTTAGAGTTAATGTTAAAATATTTGCTCTGAACAGTATTTTCAGGAGGAAAGGTTTTGGGGTAATTGGTCTCTGGAAAACCAGACCATGATTTCAGATATGAGAGGATGACACCATGATGAGCTTTCAGTCAATGGACTCTCTCCTTTACCTGGGCAGGGGTGACTGAGCAAGAGCTGAGGTTTCCAGCACCACACGTGAACCCACGATCCAGATCTTCTGCAGACCTTACCTTTGTAACATCTTTTTGTCCCCAAATAAATGCGCATAGTGCGTATACGTATTTTTCTCCTCTCCAGAGTCTGTTGTTAAGGCAGTTATTCTCTGAATTCATATGGCAACAAACCCAAAAGGTCACATATGCCAATGCACATCTCATCAAGAAAAGCACCCCCAAGAATGAACGACAGCCCAGTACCTGCAGCACCATTAACCTTGCAACAAGCACAGAGGTAGACTTCAGGTTTCCACTGCCACAGCAATCAGATTTAAACACAACCACACCAAAGGGGTGTTCTCTATAATGAACTCTGAAAGAAAACTCCAGGTAAAGGAAGCAGAACTCTGATATACTGAACTAACAGTTAAAAGCACACCAGGAGCAGGTAAGGCTTATTATATGTGACCTCTTCTCTCACAGAACCGACACAGAATTGCCATTAAACACAATCAAAACCAATCTTTTTTCCTTCCTTTAGACAGCCTTGCTAGTTGATGGGGGAGAACGCAGGGCAGTAGCTAACTGCAGGGCAGGAGGAACTTTCAAAGTGTTGATGTTTTTTTAAAAAAAAATCAGTAGAGCTGTGGCTGTCTTCAGCACTTTAAAAAATGTTTAAAAAATCAGGTCTCGACAGCACTTATCTGATGTGAAAAACAACACAAAAGTCAATAGCCATGTGAACTGGCAACATGCACTGTGGCTTCCATCTCTTCTACAAGGCAGCAGGAAAACAACAAATATGAGACTCTCAAGATTATTTTAACCACATTTCCTGTAGATTTTCTACCTAACAACTGAGTTGCAAAAACCAGACTTTCAAACAGCATCAAAAGTTAGTTCCAGATGTTTAAATGACTCCACCAGGAATCCAGAGATGGCAGGTTCAAGCTAAGCGATGGATACCAGGGTGGGACACTGATGCTCTGAAATCTTTCATGACTGGAGTATTTATGGAAGTCAAGTCTTTTTTCTTTAAAAGAAGAAATTAGAAGAAAGTTAACCCTGCAGCCCTTTTACTCTGAAGTACCCAGTGTTTAGTCTGAATCTACTCATCACCTGCTTGGAAAATTCTGCAGTTTAGCAATATGATGCAACTTGAATAATCACTGCATATCACAATGAGACAACAGAATTACAGACAAGGGAAGTTCTCCAGTCCTTGCACACATGCAGTCCCAGTAAAGCTTTATATACTGACCTGAAACTAATCCCAGTACCAGGATTTGACCAGTGGTCAGGGAAGGAAAATTAAACAAAGAAAGGGGATATGGACATTTTTATGATGGGCACTGTCAACCCTGAAGGTGAGATGTTAGCAAGCTGCCTTACAGGGAATTGAAAAAGTAGACCCTTGTACAGCGTTATCGCACACACCTTCTGCCCCTGAAAATCTGGTTCGATTTGAAAGGCAACTGGGGATTTAGCATAGGAAAAAAAAATTAAGAACAAATACACTTTCTGCCATTTCGGTCTCCAGTACAGAAAAGAATGAAGATTATTTTGCTGAGAACAATTTTCTAAGCCGCATTCCAGAAACAGCAAGAGGGTCAATAGACACACTGTCTTCTGGGTTTACACAGACAAAAAATGCAGCTCCTCAAGGCTGTTATGGTAGGAGTGATATGAATAACTGAAAAGGGCAGAAAAAAGCTTTGGCTGCTGTTCAGCCGATCCACACTAAGTGGAACAGTTCAACTTCTCTCAGCAGTCGCTCTTGTCCAGAATGGCAGAGTTTCCAGTCAAAACTTTGGTGTCGTTTTCTTTCTTCTTTCTTTTCTCCCATTCCCCCCTTCTTTTTTTTTTTTTTTTAAACCCAGACAGCATGTGAGATGCATCACTGCCAGGCCACTGCCTGCCAAAGTAGATCCGTCTTTGGTAAATCCAAGATCAGACTAAAATGCAAACACAAAAAATCACCCCTGCCCCCTCCTCTTCAACT